AATTATAGAATAATGAATATATTCAAAATTCCAATGAAAGTGATAATCAATCTAGTTCAAATTCAAATGCATTAATGGCACATATATTAAAAAAAGAAAACTAATTAAAAGTGATGAATTAGATACATATTTAAACAATGTATCAATTCTTAATACTAATGTTTTAATATTTTGGAAGATAAAATTTAAAGTTATCTATTATTATTATTTAATTATATAATGAATCAATTTAATTTTTTAATTTAATTTATAGTCATACGAAGCAGAATTTCCAAATTTATCAAAAATAGCAAGAGATTATTTAGCAATTCCTGGTAAGTCATTATAAGTTAATACTTAAACATAAAAATTATTTTGAATTTAATATCTCATTATAATAAATAAATACAATTGTTCCAATTGAAAGAATATTTTCTGGTAGAACAGACTTAATTTTATATAGAAGATGCAGCTTAAAATCAGAAACTATTAGAATTAGTATGTGTTTAAAAAGTTGGTAGAAAAAAGATGATGAAAAATAATGTCATAGTTTCATTAATTTTATTATTATCTTACAAAGCTTATTTGTTTTATAAATCTTAAATAATGTATGTAATTTTTATTTTTAAATTATCAAAATGAATTTTAAAAGAATTGTAAAAACAAGATCGTGAAATTCTGAAAATTGAAAAATTGCAAAACACTTGTAAAACTCTAAAGGAATTGCAAATTATTTGCGAATTTCTAAGGGAATCGCAAAGTAATTGCTAAATTCTTAAGAGAATCGCAAATTACTTGCGAAATTCTAAGGGAATTGCAAAGTAATTGTGAAATTCTAAGAAAATCACAAATTACTTGCGAAACTCTAAGGAAATTGCAAATTACTTGTGAAACTCTAAGAGAATCACAAATTACTTGTGAAATTTCAAGGGAATCGCAAAGTAATTGCGAAACTCTAAGAGAATCACAAATTACTTATGAAACTCCAAGGAGAATCGCAAATTACTTGTAAAACTCTAAAGAAATCACAGAATAATTGCGAAACTCTTTAAAGAATCACAAATTACTTGCAAAACTCTAAGGGAATTGTAAAATAATTGCAAAACTCTTATGAGAATCACAAATTACTTGCAAAACTTCAAGGAAAATCGCAAAGTAATTGCGAAATTCTTATGGGAATTGCAAATTACTTGTAAAACTCTAAGGGAATTGCAAATTATTTGTAAAACTCTAAGGGAATTGCAAAGTAATTGCGAAACTCTAAGAGAATCGCAAATTACTTGTGAAACTTCAAAAGGAATTGCAAAGTAATTGCGAAACTCTAAGAGAATCACAAATTACTTACAAAACTCTAAGGAAATCGTAAAGAAATTGTGAAACTCTTAAGAAAATCACAAAGAACAAGGACACCGTTAAATCCAATTCTCTTGACAGCTCTATACACGCACAAAAATCCTGGTCCAATCAAATGGATGATGAAGATGTCCCCTACAGATCTACAAGAACTCCTACTACTGAATTAATGGACACTCAACGTATCCTAAATAAATTAGATGCTATTACCGAAACATTAGCAACACTCCATAACGATCTCACATTCTCGATGCA